TTCCTTTCTCTCTTCCTTTCTTTCTCTCCGCCTCCCTTTCTCCCTCCCTTCCTGGCTGCCCCCCACCCCACCCCAGAGGCTCTGTCTTTCCCAGATCAGCCTTTCATTTGGGGCAATCTCAGCTATTTTGTGATTTCTCCTCCTCTTTCTGAGCTGGCGCTCGCCGTTCGGCATTGATGCTCGAGGCTGGGGGCTCTGCCCTGACGCCGCTCGCTCCCCGTTGCAGGGAAGCAGAGGGGCCGCTGCCCCAAGGCTCTGAAGGGCGTGAGTGACCCCGCGGGCGTGATCAAGATCAGCGACGACAGCAGCACCGACTCCGACATGGGACTCGACAGCGACTTCAACTCCTCCCCGGAGTCCGTCTTTGAGACGGACGATGTCATCTTCATCGAGCACACCTACAACGGCTTTGCGGCAGAGCACAGCGGTAAGCGGAGCAGCAGCTCGGGGTCAGCTCCTTCCTTGCTGGGGGGGGCTGGGAACCGGAGCCCCTTCGTTCTGGAGACACCCACCCACCCCGGTGCCCTGCAAGCACGTGCCGTGGCAGATCAGACGTGACCCTTCTGGGCAGAGTCTGGCTAAGGGGACTGCAGGGTCACTGAGCTGATGTGAGGGGACGCTCTTGGCCTCTCCTTGGAATGGTGTCGCTCCCGTGCTTGGGACAGCCCGATGATCCTGGCTGGATTTTATCCTGTGATGCTCAGCTCATGAGGTTGATTCCCGTTAACCTGCTGTGAACAGAGAGCGGGAACACTCCGCCCCACGTGCTCCTTTCCCCACAGAGGGAATTCATCCCGTGCTCAGCAGCGTGCGCTGCAAGTCGGGGGGAGGGTGTCTCTGCCTGCTCACACAGTGTCCCCACAAGCCCTTTGGGACAACTTTTTCTCTGATTTGCAGTTACCAGGTAACTAAACACCTTTTACATTGCAGGTAGTTTCCACATGCTGCCTTCCCAGAAAGAGGCGCATGGCCTGAGAGAACTCGAACGTGTGGAAAAGATGAAGCAGGACCTCCTAGTAAAAGTAAAAGCACTGGGCAAAGAGCTACCTCTCAATACCTTGGACGAACTGATCAATCACTTTGGGGGCCCGGAGCACGTGGCTGAGGTACTCCTCGCAATCAGGAGCGCGTTTTGGTGGCAGTGGGAGATGGGAAAAGGGGGCAGGGAGGGGAGTTCCTGCTGGAAGAGGGTTTCCTCCCCCATCTTGCAAGCTGAGAACTGACTTTCTGCGCCGACTCGCTGCGCCGTGCGGGTCTGTGCCCCCTGCTAACGGCCTCTCTCCTGTGGGCTGTGTGCAGATGACGGGGCGGAAGGGCCGGGTCGTCTGCAGGCCGGACGGCTCCGTCGTGTTCGAGTCCCGTGCGGAGCAAGGCCTCTCCATAGACCACGTCAACCTGAAGGAGAAGGAGCGTTTCATGAAAGGGGAGAAGGTGAGTCTGGTTCGAGCCAAAGAAACCTCCGAACATCCACACGGGAGCGAGTGGGAAGGAGAGGGAGGGAGCATCGGCGTGTTTGTGCCTTGCTCAGGCCAACAAGGCTCTGCAGCTCCGTGACTCTTCGACCAGCCGGAAGGTGACAAGGTGTCCTGAGTCCCTTCACGCGCTGGGGAGTTGTGCTTCGGGCTTTTCCTCGAAGCAGTTTTGCAGATGTCCAGGAATCCCACTCCCCTCTCTCACTTGTTGTCTCTCTCCCTTAGCTCGTAGCAATAATCTCCGAGGCCTCCAGCTCAGGTATCTCTCTCCAAGCAGACAGACGGGTGAAAAACCAGAAGCGGCGGGTCCACATGACTCTGGAGCTGCCCTGGAGTGCAGACCGGGCCATACAGCAGTTTGGTGAGAGCTGGGTCTTCTTGGGCACCGTCTCCCTCCCCGGAGCGTGGCTCAGACGGAGCCTCGGGAAGGCGGCTGCGGCCAGGCGGGTGTATTTAGCTTTTTGGGATACACCACCTTGCAGAGAACAGTGTTCCTGTGTTTTGCCAGGGTGGAAATGCAGACATAAAGCAGTTGTGAGTGGTTTATCCTGTGGGGAAGGTTGGGGTTGGCTTCCGGAGTGATTTGCAGCGTGGGAAGCGAGCCGTCCCGTACACGTTAGCAGTGTGTTCCCCTGAAACCTGCCGGGGGTACCTGGGGATTTCTGTTCCATCCCGGGGCGGCTGCAGGGTGGGGAGGGATGAGGGATTTAATGCCCATCCTGGCTCCAACTGAGGAGTCACTCCTCAGCCCCAGAGGGCCAGGGCTGTAAACTGCCACAGTCTCAGCAGCACCAGGGTGCTGAACGCGGCCGTGCCTCCCTTGTTCCCCCCCAAGAGATCTCCTGTGGAAGCAGACATACCATGGGAAGGCTTTGGCTCTCAGCTTCCCATCCAGGAGCAGACACCCTGTACCAACCTTTCCCTTCCCGTGTCCCCGTAGGTCGAACGCACCGATCCAACCAGGTTTCTGCTCCAGAGTACGTCTTCCTCATCTCCGAGCTGGCAGGGGAGAGGAGGTTTGCCTCCATCGTGGCCAAACGCCTGGAGAGCCTGGTAAGTGCCCTGCAGCGCAGGGATTCGTGGGTCGGTTCCGGTTCCCTCGGAAGAGTTTCCACTGCGGTGCTCCCGCTGGCATGGGCAGTGTAACGAGGGCGGGGGTTGCGTCACCCCCTGACGTTGCTGCTGTGGGATGCGGGTGGCTTTCAGCATCCTCGGATTTGGGAAAGGAAGTGAAGAAGAATACGTAACCAGGGCGTCAGGAGAATTTTCAGGGAAGCAGAACCCAATTCCAGATGCTGGAATTCCCCCACTGTTACAGCAATGTAAACCCATCTGTTTACAGAAAGCTGATGAAATAATTAATGGGATAATTAATTTGTTTCATTTTTCTTCACTTCTGATAAATCCCCACATACTTTGGTAAAGCCTCAATTTTCCAGAGGAATACTGCCTCCCCCTCCTCCTCTGGTCCTGCCTCTTCCCAGAGGTGCTCCGGCCGTCCTTCCCTGGTGTGTCGCAACAGCTAAAAGAACTTTTTCCTTGGTCTGCCTTCCCAGGGTGCCTTGACTCACGGGGACCGCCGGGCCACCGAGTCCCGAGACCTCAGCAAGTACAACTTTGAGAATAAGGTAACCTGGGGCTGTTCTCTTGGGGCAGGGGTTGAGGTAGTCGGCAAGTGCCTTCCGTGGGAGCCGGAGCTGGAGCTGGAGCCGGGAAGGTCATTGCTGGCATCTGCAGGCAGGAGCTGGCCTAGCAGCCGGCTCCCGGGTGTCTCGTGTAAGGAGCAGGGAATGCCTTGTGCATCCAGCACCATGCTGGCGGGAGGTTCCTGCTCCCACAGGCCAGCCGGGAATCGTAGAATCATGGAATGGTCCACCCCCTGCCATGGGCAGGGACACCTTCCATAGCCCAGGTTGCTCCAAGCCTCATCCAGCCTGGCCTTGGACACTCCCAGGGATGGGGCATCCACAGCTTCTCTGGGAACCTGTCCC